TAAACAACAACAAAATATCCCCAACAAAACAAAACAAAACAATTTAATAATAATATTAAAAAAAAACAACTTAAAGAAAAAGAATGCTCCAAAACAACAATGAACAGCCAACCCATCCCCCAAACATGAAAAAAACCCAAAAACAAAAACAAAACGAAAGGAAAATGGAAAGCTTCCTAAATTTCTTCTCGTATTATCCTTAATCGCCAGTCCTTTTCGAAACCAAAATCAGCTCAATGGTTTCATCGCCCACTACAAAACAGAGATATGTTCATCTAAAAAGAATGTTAAAAAGCAAAACCTGAATTATTGTGTTTATTTACATAAATCATATTTATGGGCCACTGCCCAAAAAGCATCTGGACGACAATGTAAAATACAGACAGCATTCGTTGGGCCAGTTGACAAACTAGTGTATAATATGTACATGTATATTTTTCGGTCTTTGGCAGAGCTTTTGAACATACAATGTATTTTCACACACAAAAAACTAACATTCAATAAAATGCACACACATCCGCAGACACAGACTTTAAGGAAGGGCACCAGCTGACATAGACCACATAATTATCATAGCTACAGATCGACTCATATTCATAACAACTGGCGTTATTACTGACTGCAAAAAGCCAACATAAAGAACACACCATAAACTAGATTGTACTATGTACTTTTGATTTTCAGGAGGAAACAACTGGCGAAACGAGGTACGCTTGGTGTTTTGTTGTTGTTGTTGTTTGTTTTAGTTTTTGTCTGATTTTAAAAACCTAAACAGAATGATTTTGCTCTGATAATAATCAAGCGCCAGCTCACTTTTTGGGTATAGGGAATCTTCCCGAGAGCAGTAAATATATACCATGTTTATGAAAAGCTCGAGTCTCAAGCGTCCTTAACCATATTAAGTTCACAACACACTATGCCACACAGACCCGAACAGGTGGCACAAGAAGCATTCTGGTCTCAGGATGCAAGAGACACGGTTTAAATGTCTGCAAATATATGTAAAGGTTATACAAAAAGTGAGGGGGGGAATTGGGGGGTAACTGGACAAGAGGTTACTCATCCTCTTCAAAAGTTTTGTCAAAATCTTAAATATGCTATGGAAAGTGGCGGCACATTACATACTGGCTGTGCATTGGGG